GTGGATTGTGATGAGTTGTATGAGTGCCCAATAAAATGATTAAAATTAAAAAAAGATGTTATTGCGGAAAGAAGAACCTGAGAATCCCTCTACTTAGAAATTGTGGGCCTGTTATCAGCTCTGGTCATTCTCCTAGGCTGCAGATAAGGCATTTATGAGGGATTTTCTTTATGCAGGGAAGAGAACAACTATACACTAAGCCCCAAGTATCTCCTCTCCTCCTACCTATCACTGAGCTAGTGGGAGATGGGAGTGGGCTGCCCACATCTATGATGGGAAGACTGGGAAAAGAATTGAAATGCATTGGTGTGGAATGTAGCTAATGAGCTCTGAAGCTTGATTTTTATCATTTGGTTTTCATAAAAATGTGGAATTTGTCACTGTTTGATCTACTGGACAAAGCAACCAGTATGCTGACCTACAATTCTCTCTACACATACTGACCCCAGGTGGCCTACATTTCTCTTAGCCTCCTCCACAAAAGACAAATTAATCACCATTTATTTGTCACATACAGTAGCAGAGGACAGAGGAACAGAGCTGAGATTTCTGTTCATCTTACAGGAGTCACTTCTTTTGGTGCAAAAACTTAAGGCGCTTCTAGAGAGAAACATTTCACCATTTTGGAGACATCTGTTTAATACTATACCAGTTTCAATTTTACCATTAGCTTTGATATCTTCAAATTTTCTGAATTTTTCTTCCCACAGACCCATATCATCTTGGTTTTCCTGCTGATACCAAAAAAAAACAAGTGGGGGAGGCAATTTCAGTTTTTTGTTTTATTTTGTTTTGAATCCTTTTATTAGGAACTCTGACAGATACAACATTCCGTAGTTCCTCAAGCAGTATTGTACAATTGCAACCACAATCAATTTCAAAACATTTTATTTCTTCTTGAACCCCTTGATATCAGCTCCCCTTTATTCCCTCCCACCCCCAACCTACCCCCTAGAAAACCTTATTTATTTTTTGCCATATCTTACAATCCAATATATCCATTCACATACAATTCTGTTGTTTTATCCCATCGAGAGGGGTTATACAGTCATCAATGCTACTCTGCTCCCTATTGCCCCTTCTCCCCCACCTCTTCCCATACCCTCAGGGAACCATTACGCCTGTTACTGTTTCTGAAGGGTTATCTATCTTGGCTATCATGTACCTAACAATCTTAAAAGTACAAATGAACATATGCAAATCTAACATGATTAATGAGGTAAAACAAATAGAATCCATAATAGTAAGGGGAGGAAACAAAAACTAGAGGATAGTTATGTGGTTCATCAGTGTTATACTGCACCCTGTATTTATCATTCCTTTTGTGTGGCCCTTCTGAGAGGGACTGTCCAATTATCTTATAGGTGGTTTTTGGGTCTCCACTACATTCACACCCCTTCATACCAATTTGGTTGCTTGTTTTTGAACTTCTGATACCTTTTCCTATTGACACCTCATGATCACACAGGCTGGTGTGCTTCTTTCATGTGGGCTTTGTTGCCTTCCCTGCTAGATCAATTTCCATTTTTAATTGCAACAAACATGGTTACCCAAACCACAACACATTTTATTTGGATTATCAAAAAACTAGACTGGAAAATTAGTTCACCTTTTAGAAGATAGCCTATGATGTCAGTGTATTTAATAAATCTGTGTGGATCATATCAAACTACGGCCAGTCTTAAGAATAGGAAGTCCAGAACACTGCATTGTGCTTATGCAGAATCTGTATATGATGAAGAGGCAGTTGTGCAAAGAGAATAAAGGTATACTTCATGGTTTAAAATTAGGAAAGTATCCTCTCACCATACTTATTCAATCTGTATGCTGAGCAAATCATCAAAGAAGCTAGTTTATATGAAAAGAATACAGTATCAAGATTGGAGGAAGGCTTATTAACAATCTGTGATATGCAGATAACACAACCTTGCTTGCTGAAATTGAGGAGGACTTGAAGCACTTGCTGATGAAGATCAAGTCTTATAGCCTTCAATATGGATTACAACTCAATGTAAAGAAAAGCAAAGTCCTTACAACTGGACCAATAGATACGTCATGATAAACAGAGAAAAAGTTGAAATTGTCAAGGATTTTGTCTTACTTGGATCCATAATCAATCCAGGTGGAAGCAGCAGTTAAGAGATCAAACGATGAATTGCAATGAGCATATCTGCTGCAGAAGATCTTTTAAAAGTGTTGATTAGCAAGGATGTTACTTTGAAGACTAAGGTACACCTGACCCAAACTATAGTATTTTCAATCGTCTCGTATGTGAAAGTTAGGCATTGAATAAGAACGACCGAAGAAGAATTGATGTATTTGAATTATGGTGCTGATGAAGAAAGTGTCATGGACTGCCACAAGAACAAACAACTCTGCCAAAAGAACCGGCAAAACAAGAAGTAGAGCCATAATGCTCCTTAGAGGCAAAACAGTGAGACTTCATCTGATGTACCTAGAATATGCTCTCAAGAAAGATCAGTCCCTGGAGAAGGACATACATCATGCTTGGTAAAGTAGAGGGGTAGGTTTATTGTTCCAACCTGGCCAAAGAACACGTGTGGGATTAAATGAAGTGTGGAGAGATAAATGGCTCGGCGAGCCTCGCCTTTCTTGTCTCTTGTTCTTTGATGATCAGATTAGTGTGCGGCTGCCTTAGCGTGTTCTCTGCCTCAATTTGCAAGCTACATCACCTGTGGGACACAATCTGTGGACTGTGTCACTGTAGCTTGAGGTTCCTTTAAGACCTGCTTCGTCACGCTACTGGAGCTGGGGACATTCAGACCCTGTCATCTGGCTGACTGTTGGTGACCTGCCTTGCTGTTTGTGCCTGTGGTTGGATAGTCTGAATTGCTCCACGGAGGACTCAGCTGTCTGCTTCCTTGACTTGCACCCAGCAGCCTTCAAGACTTGAAGGACTACCAGTATATTAGCTGTCTCACGGAAGTGAGTTGTACTGAGCCATTTGTACTGCTCGATAGATTAACTGTTTATTTATGTTATCTATCTATCTAAATATATATAAAATCCTAAGTGTCCTGGTTTTGTTTCTCTAGAGAACCCTAACATAGGCAGTGAAAAGAAGGAAGGTCCTGGACAAGATGGATCAACACAGTGCCTGTGATAATGGGCTCAACCGTAAGAACCATTGTGAGGATGGCACAGGGCTGGCAGTGTTTCGTTCTGTTGTGCATGGGGTCACTATGGCTTGGAACCAACTCGATGGCACCTAACAACAACAAAAATTTTAGTAGTGACTTGTGTGAGCCACATCTAACAAGAATATCTTTATCAAAATGATATGGCAACAGTTTGAAAAATGCGATCTTCACATTTGTAAGAAAATGATTTCTTACTATTTTTTTTCTCTCTTTTTGATATACAAATAGGGTGAGGTAAACCATTTGGAGTGAAAAACAAACAACCTAAAAACCACTGGAAGTCAACTAACTTAGGTCCGTCCTCGGAAACCCTAAAAGATTTGTTTTGTACATATTTTCCCCCTTTCCCAATAGCCAAACTATTGGCTACATTCTGTGCTGGCTTGAGAAGTGAAGTCAACTGAGGTGGCAATGACTGCTCAGGTCCGTAATCTCTTAGTGTGGGGCGACAGACTTTCTTAGTTTCACAAAACTTTCCCTTTCCCTAGTAGAATGAGAAAGTGAAAAAAAAAAAGTTCATGTATTTAAAAATGAATATTTGCCCATTCCTAGTTTCCTTCCTTATAATTAAAGCTTCTGCAAAGTTGAGACTCTGTCTTTAACATTTAAAAATAAATTACACATGAATACTTGGTTCAAGGGTTATTAATCCAGGGCCTATGGATGGGCTTTAATGTCTGTGATTCGAATAGTCAAATAGTCGGGCTGGTTTTTTTGTTTTTGTTTTATTTTCTAGAGGAATGGTTCATAGTCCTTATCAGGTTTTTACAAAGGGATCTGTGACTCAAAACCAATACCCAAAGGCTTTCAGTATCTAGTTCCCAAATGCTCATTTGCCATTTTGTCACCAAACTATAAGGCTATGTCCAAATTGCACTAAATTGCTCTATTTGGAGCTGAGAAATTATTCTATTGCTCATCAGAATGAGTCAGTCAGCAGAAGGAAGCAACATTTGTCTTTACTGCATTGGAAACGCTTTTCTCCACAACTGGTGATCACAGCTGCTACCAGAGCTACTCTAAAGATACATGTGGCCTTGTGGAGTGTTCATTACCCTGCTGTTTAAAATCGGTCTGTATTTTCTTTGCTCTTAAGGAAAAGTCCAAAAAGCTTAACATAGCTTACACGTTCTAAGTTCCATGACAATAAGGAGCTTTGACTTGTTCAGTGACAAACCACCAATTCCTCTAACAATGCCTGTGACATAAGGTTCTCAAGAATGAATACATGACTCTTCCTGGGGTTACCCCTGCCATTTTTCTAGCCTCATTCTACACCAGTCTGCCTTTGCTTTCCTTTCTTCAACTTAAAGAAACTGTTGTTGTTAGGTACCCCTGAGTCAGTTTATAATGCACTGTGACCTGCTGTACAAGAGAATGAAATAATGCTGGGTCCTGTGCCATCCTCACAATGGTTATGTTTGGATCCATTGTTGTAGCCACTCTTGCGATCTATCTCATTGAGGGTCTTCATTTTTGCTGCCGACATTCTACTTTATCAAGCATGATGTCTTCTTCCAAGGCCTGGTCTCTCCTGATCACACGTCTAAACTATGTGAGACAAAGTCTAGCAATCCTTGCTTCTAAGGAGCACTCTGGCTATACTTCTTCCAAGATAGACTTGTCTGTTCTTTTGGCACCCTGCAGAATATTCAATATTCAATAATTCAAATGTATCAGTTCTTCTCCTCCTTATTCATTGTCCAGCTCTCACATGCATAGAAGGATATTGAAAACACCATCACTTGGGTCAGGCACACCTTAGTCCTCTAAGTGACATCTTTGTTCACATATATGAAACTCATATACACATGAACTATGAATGAAACACACAGATATAAATAAACAAATATACATATATATGAGGGGTACCCAAAAAAACACGGAATAGTGCTGGGTGGAGCGGAGCTTTCATATTACATATTTTTCCCACTAAGTGAGCATCAAGCAACTCGCTCTGAGTTAGTGCACCCAGTGGCGTCACCTGGGAAGGTTCTCTCTGGTCACAGTGAATTTTTTTCATAAAAGCAGTTTCATTCGACCCTTGTTTTTTGTAATGGACGATTTAAGAGAATAGTGTGTAGCTGTGAAATTGTGTTTTCTGCTCAGGGAAAAATGCAACAGAAACTGTTGTGATGTTGAACACAGCTTACAAGGACAGTGCTATGGGAAAAACTCAAGTATATTAATAGTTTTCTCATTTCAAAAAGGGTAAAATGTTAAATTGATGACAAACTTTATTCTGGACATCTGTCAACTTCCTGAAAGGACAAAAATGTTGACTAGGAGTGCATTTAGAATTCGTTTCACCAGGTCAGACTGTTAATCAAGCTTTCTGAAAATATTTAGAGGTTCTGAAAAGATTGTATAACAGTGTGTGACAAAAAAGGTCTGATTTGTGGCAGACAGGGGACTGGTTTTGCCACCACAACAATGCATCTGCTCACACAGTCATCTTAGTGTGCCAGTTTTGGGCAAAAAACAGGATGCCTCTCTTGCCCTATGTACCTTATTTACCTGGCCTCACTCTGTGCAATGTTTTTTTGTTTCTGCAAATGCAGAGGGACATGGAAGGACAGCGATTTGATGATGCAGAAAAGGTGAAGAATAAAATGAGGGAGGTGGTGTCAGCCATCCAAACAGACGAGTTTGAAAAATGTTTCCAAGAATGGAATCATAGATACAATAAATATATTCAGTGTAATGCAGAGTACTTTGAAGGTAATAAGATTGTTTTATAAAAAAATTTAAATATATAACTTTGAAAAAAATTTTCATGTTTGGGGGTACCTCTCCTATTTACTTCAAATGTGCTCTTTTAATCTCAAGTTCTTTGATTATGCCATTTGCAGTAATCTTTCCCAACTTTTGACTAGTCAAGTGTCCTTATGCATCAGGTTTCAACTGTTATCACATTATTTCCTAGAGGAGATTTTTCTTGACTCTCATTGAGATAGTTTATTGTGCCAGCCTGGCCGATAAACACAAGTGGGATTAACTGAAGGGCAAAGAGATAAATGGCTTGGTGAG